TTAAATAGTTATTAAGAGCAAGGGTAATGTTGTTGTTAATTTGTGACCTTTGATAGGAATATTTAGTCTTGTCAAGTTGACAAGGGAGGTAAGTGAGATTTTAAAACTTTAAGAGAGTCAAGTAATATTATGACAAATCTCAAGGGAGGTTTCTAAAATTATCCCTTAGAATTTATACTGATTAGGAAGGAAACAAAAATGCAGAAATAGAGTCGAAAGAGAATCATATAGGCTAAAGTAACACAATTAAAAGCATCTTGTGACTTTTAGCTCGTCTTGCTTAATTATTTGCTTTTAGTTCGATTTGCTTAATTATTTGGCTATGCAAGCAAATTTGGATCGAGGTTTATTTGCAAAATATTATTTGATTGCATCATATACATGTTCTTCAATTAATCTTTTTATTTTTTTAATCATCTTTTTATTTTACATACGTCACATCATAAAGAGTGATACAGTAATTATTCCAAATTCCAAATGATATTTCACATAATCTCCCGTCCAAACACACTCATATGTTTCTCTAGTGTAAGTAAATTTGCTGCCTTCTAATTAGCATTGCGCGACTTGCTAGTAACTTGGAATATTGAGTTGCAACCGCAATTATCTACTTCAGTTTTCAGATTACATAGCGATGCACCTCTCTAGCTTCTATGCTTCTCTCAAAATGCTGCTCCTCCCTATCTTCTAGAGCCACTCTCAATCTAAAACAAGGAAAACAACAGTACAAATAACTGGGGATCTACAATTTCCAGCTACAATTTACTTTTGCAACTCCCATTTGACTGGCACCAACACTTATAAGACACCATGTCCCAATTTAGATAACAGAGAAGATTAATTCCTATCCCCCTAATTTCTTTGTTACATCTTCCACCAAATTCTTCCAATCCTCAAGAACTTGTTCTTAAGTTCTGTAGACATCTTTAAAATGTGGTTCGTTGGGCATTCCAACAGGGCCGTACTGAATCCTCCTCCTATTACAAGAAGAAGCCACCTTATAAATCGCCTTGGACTAGCATGATGGGCCATGGAAAGAAAAAAAAAAGCATTATGTATTGATTACGACAAGATGAACAACAATGGATTTGTACAAAGAAAGTGAAAATAACCTGTCTTTGAGGACATAGCTGTTCAACACCTTCCTGGACTTATCCAGTCATTAGTAACTTGAAGCTCCGTCGACGTTTAGTTATCCTGGGAAGATGGAGATTAGATGTAATAGCTATTGATCCTTGTAACTATGCATACTGAAATTCTGCCTGGTATTAAGAGTCAAGGGATTGATCAGTGTCTTTTTCAGCGCAACAACTTGCTGGCTCTTACCATATCCCAATTAGCTGGCAGCTTAGACTTGATCATCAGAGAAAATAAAACCTGTTGAAAGAAGAGCAACCGAAGATCAGATTCATTTCAATTTTTGAAAATCAGGATGTTATAGTGGCTGATAGTGATTTTCTTGTATGCCCTATTACCTAAAATGTTTGTCAGCTATGCAGATCCAGTTGCTTGGCTACTAATTTATGGAAGAGGGTTCAACCAAGATGCCGTGATGCACTGAATCATGCACCTGTTTCACACTTCACTAATTTCACACTATCAATCCAGCAATCCCAGGAATTTTCCCTTTAAGGTCTTCTGCATCAAACCTCAATTTTTGGACATCATCCCATCTTCCATCACTAGCATAGATGTTAGAGAGCATAACCTTGTAACTGTTTTTTGTTTGCTTACTTTTAAAGAGATTCTCAGCAACCACCTCCGCCAATTCATAATTCTCATGAACATTACAGCATGACAGAAGTGCACCCCAAATGCTGGAGTCAGCCGGCTGTTGTAGTGATTGGACAAGTTCAAAAGCCTCTGTTAGTTCTCCAGCCATTCCAATAAGCTTGACCATGTGAACATAATGCTCATTCTTAGGCAAAATGCCAAATTCATCTTTCATTCTTCTGAAATATTCTCTACCAGCATCAACGAGGCCAGAATGACAGCATGCACCAAGTAGAGCAGCAAATGTAGATTCATCTGGCCTGATGCCTTCTGAAAGTACCTCCTCAAAAATTTGAAAGGCCTCAGCTGCAAATCCATACAAGCCAAGACAGGCGATTATTGAGTTGTATGAAACTATATTCTTTTTAGGCATAGACTTGAAAAGCTTCATCCCCAACCCCAAATATCCACACTTTGCATACATGTCAATTAGAGCAGATGACACCGTGACCTCTGAATGACATCCATGTCGAATAGCATAACCATGTAACTCACACCCAGGCCCTACAATTGCAATCTGAGCAGCAGCTGCCAATGCACTAGAAATCAATACATGATCAGGCTTTCTGCCTTCCATGTTCATTTTCCTGAAAAAATCCAAGGCCAAATTATGCTGTTCTGCCTGAGAAAAACCCGTTATCAGGGCAGACCATGTAACTAAGTCAGGTTGTAACAAACTATTAAAAAGTTTATACGCCGAGTCCATACACTTCAACCTAGAATACATATTCACAAGTACACTATTCACATGACCAATCCAACCAAAATTACATTTGACACAAAAACCATGAACTGATTCTCCAATTCTTAGCAGAGTAGGATCTGTTAAACCGATGCTCAACCCAACGACCGTATAGCTATCGGGGCATTTCCCCAATTCTCTCATCTTCCTGAACAATTCCATCCCTTTCTCCCAACTCCCACAACATCCATATCCCGAGATCATCGAGTTCCACAACACTAAATCTGGCTCAAGAATCCCATAGAACACTCTACTTGCTTTATCAAGATGACCTAATTTCGAATAAGCACTGACAAGTGCACTACAACAAACTGAGTCCAATCCAAAGCCTAAAACAACACCTAGACCATGCACAATCTCCAATCCATTTATATCAGCTTTTTCAGAACACGCCCGCAGAATACACGCAAAGGTGAAATTATCAGGGCTAGTTTCCAAACTAAGCATACGCTTGAACAACGCAAATGCGTCTGAAAACAAGTGGGTTTTAGCATAAGCTCGAATAATGGAGTTCCACAGGAAAATGCTTCTTTGGGGAGTTTCATCAAACAGTTGTTGGGCTGAACTCAGGTCGTTATTTATGGCATATAATCTCACAAGCCTTGTTGCATAAAATGGGTCTTTTGAGATGTGGGTCTTGATTATAAAAGCATGCAAAATTTGGGTTCTTAAAAGGGTTTGACGGGGTCTTGAGAGCTCGGAAAGAAGAGCGCGAAATGGGATCAGCATTTAGGCCATTTATATTAAGGTTGTTAGCTCTATTGAGGTATCTTTTATGTTTCTGATGTTGTATTTCATGGAACGTCCACAAAATAGTAAAAGGACGGGAGCTTAAAAAATTAGCACTCGGCAATAGGAATCTTTCGTATTGAGCCTCCAAATTCCAAATCTTGAATTGATTTCTCACAGCACAGAGTTGTAATTTTTGTTTTACTAATTCTTCAGATTAGACTTAGAGTTTACTAATTAGCTGACCATTATTTTTTGCTACTTATTGGTAATTATACCTCTTTTCTATTTTTCTTTTCCCGTTTCATCACTCGCCAGATTAGCAGCTAAATTGTAAACGGTCATTCGAGATTACATCATCTTGTATGTGTTGAGTTTTTGAAGTGCTTTGACGTGTTTCGAGATTTGATAGTTAAAAAAAACAAACAAGTGAACGAGGTGGATTAAGTTAATGTCATGATTTAACTCTTATCTAGCACACCGTTTTAACTATTTTTTTTTTTTTTTTTAACTCTGCCACTATGGAGCCCCATTGCCCCATAGTCCATGGCTACAATGGATTTCATATATGTAGGGTTTTGGACTCCTCATTTTGGTAGATTTTTTAAATTGTAGAAACGAATAACTTTTTTTTTGGATAAATAAAAGTTTGGGTGAATTCGACTCCAATCACTATCACGGATCAGAACATACCTTTGAATTATAAGTCACTTGCAAAGGTTCTTGCACATTGCACACCAAAACAGTTTTTACATTGAAAGTGAATTTGAATGTATGATCTTTTATAAGAATGTAATCCGTCCTTACTAATTGAGTCAACAATGTGCAACACCAAAACAGTTTTTACATTGAAAATGAATTTGAATGTATGATCTTTTATAAGAATGTAATCTGTGCTTACTAATTGAGTCAACTTGTGTTCACATAGAAACAAATACATGATGCATGCCTCTTTACTTTGATATGTAAGTACATAATAATAATAATAATAATAATAATAACGTAAAATCAGAAATGTTGTAGGTCTTCATTTTTCACAAATAAAATTCTCTTCCCTTACTTTTTCTTTCTCCCAAAAAAAAAATAACATAAATAAAATAAAGAAAAAGTGATAGAGCAGGCGTGCTACTGGCCAATGATCTACAGATTGCAAGAAAACCCCATTGCAAAGAGGAATTGAATCTTTGGTTCATCATTACTCCATTGAATTTCGTGGTATGAGTCAGAATAAATATATCAATGCATTATTTCGTCTCTCCATTGCATTTCGTCGTCTAAGTTAGAATAAATACGTCAATGCATTTCTTCTCCCCAATCAGAATAAGCACGTTTGCCAACAGTCTCTTCGAAGCTCCAAGTATGTGTTACCATGCGAATCAATTCTATGAATTTTTCTAAAATACTCTTTCCCTGAATACGGTTCAAAAAATTTCCCATTTACAAAATGGACATGGTATATCTAGCTGAAGTGGAAAACAGTATGTACTCATTATGAGATATCGGGGCTCATCTTTTTCTGGTCATTCCAGAAAGGCACTAAAAGATTATTTATGACATGGTTTCCTAAAGAGCAAAAAAAGAGGTTAACAATAGGCACATGACACATCCACCAGTAGTTTCGTCGACGACAGCACAGCAACTTTCGATCTCTCTGTTTTGACTGGTAAAAGTTGGAGTTTCAGTCTTTTATTGGATTCAAGAATCACTGGAACATAGCTTGTAATTTCAGATATCCGAAAACAAACATGAGAAAAGATCACCATGAAAACATCTTCATATCAAAACACTTTACGTTCTCAATTTTCTAACTAAACGCGGTCTCAATACACATCTACAAGGAGAATTGCAGCCACCATTGACATGGTTTTTGCTCTCATAAGAGAGAGAAAGTCGTATGTCCAGTAAAAATTATTCACATGCTCCTCCAGTAAGCCAGTGATGAACTATGGAGGCCATAGAAAACGATAGTTTAGTTTCCAAAGTCTAGAATATCCTTCAGGCAGTCAGAAAAACCTAGCAGCGCAAGAATTGCTCATTTCCATATTCCTGAAAACTTGGACCAGAAATACAGCACAAAGATGCAAACGACTGCAAAAAGGATCACATGCTTAACATGATCTGAGCCATCTCGGACAATTCTCTGGTTCAATCTCCTCGAGTTATTCTTCAAGGCTGCCTGAGCTCTGACTAGTGGCAGTTTCTGCATTTACAGACAAGAAAACAAGTGTCCGATATAAGCAATTATGTCATGCCTTTAAGACATTAAAGGAAAAAGTAAAAGCTTAGACTGAGAGATGAGCCGACATTAGTAAAGATGAACACATCAAACATAGGTGTTAGTAAAGGGATAATGTTAATTACAAGGTCATTAATTATTAGTAAAAAGAAATTTATAATGAGTGACAGCATAAAACCATTGCAATGGAGGAGCCAGTCTAAAAGGCTTCTGGAAAACCTGGAGGTCCAACACTAGTATGTATGCACCAATTTTGGTCCATAAGGCAAATGGCTACAATATTTTTTGAAGGGGTTTTAAAGAATTATGGGGAGTAAAGATCAGGAATCTGAGTTAATACTATTTGTAGGTTCTATATTGCTCAAATATACAACTTTTCTCAAGTCATCCTCCAAGACCAATAAATCTAAAACAGTACCGTTAGCAGAAGCATACAAATAAGCGTCCAATTATCTCAAATAATAATTATGGTTTCAACTTTAATATGCATTGTGGTAGACTCCACTTCTGACCAGTATACAATTATGATGGTCTCCTCAAACATCAAAAAGTTTATCCCACAATAGTGTGAATTTCTTCAAGAAGATGCAAAGGGCTTGGACTGATACTCTTGAAAGTAGATGCAACAATATGACTGTCAAATGCTCAATGTGGAAAAATCATTTCTCTAATTAAGAAAGAACAAGAAACAGTTGACCTTATGATGATTCCAAAAGCCTAAACTGAGACAAAGCTTTTGTCATGCACAATTGTTTTAAAATGTGTCAAGCACTTGACAGACCAATATCTCTTGTTTTTCTTAAAATTGAGTTCCACGAGTTGATGTAGTTTCTCCATAGCCTCTAGTTCTGTACGCTACGTTAGACAAGTGCTTTTAGAAGATGAACACCATTCCATACGATAGCAAATTGTCAACAAGTAATCACAGAAAGAAAGATTTGACAAATAACAAAGCACCTTCATCAATCTAATTTTTCTATTCTTTGTTTCTGAAATAAAGAGAGAGATACAGCATGCATCATGCATCACAGATATAGAAGGAAATCTTTTAACAAATAAGTAGCTCCAAAATCCAAGCAATTACAAAATAAGTGAACGTTAAGCTCATTTTGCTCAACAACTCCACATGAGATGCATCATTTATCTAAACCCCTAGTTTGCATAGAAATATGACTTATTTTTTCGCAACTTTCCACCAAATAAAAAGGTAAACTCACTTTACTATAGAATCACTGGATTAACTCATAGCACAGAATGGTGGTATCTATACATCAAGTACAGCAGTACGAATTAAACAGACTACAAGTACTCAAAGTCACACCTAAAACTGAGTAGGTAATTACATCATGTGCTATGAAAGTTTAAACTCGAGAAACTCTACTCCCAAAGCTTCCAAGGGGGAAAAAACCTGCAGCCTATGTACATATCGCTTTTCACAAGTTCATTATACTTTAACCAGATCACATCTCAAGCGTGCCAAATGTGACTAATTGCTCAACCTATACCCAAATGAATGCAAATTCGTGATTCATCATTAGCAAATCTAGCTAAATTTCACTGCAAATTTCTTGCTATAAAAAATTTCTATGACTATGGCCATTGTGACTAAGTATGAAGACCATGCAGTACATGATAATCAAAGCAAGAACCAATGATCTTTTGAAAGACCACATCATACAGAACCATACCATAAAAAATAATGGCTAAAACATTCTCCATTTTCACTAAAACTACAACTGATACGCTGACAAGAGCTTTGGACAGAATCTATCCACTTCCAGAACGACATGCAGTGTAAAAGTGAAATTTCCAAGTAATAACATGTAGAAAAATATGCAGACAAACATAAATACAAGAAAACAGAGTAAAAAAGCTACAACATAATTTAGCAAATTCACAATGATGTAATATTTAAGAGTTAAAACTCCAACTATCAATCTGTAGAAAACAATGGAGACAAACACGAATAAGACTAAAAGTGCAACAACATAATCACTCAAAACTTACACATAATCCTGTACTATAGCTACTAGCACTTAGAGACTGAAACAGCAATACTCCATGCCACATTCAGTCACTAATCCCTGATTAAATTCATATTAACATCCAATACTGTTGATTCTACAAAATCCAGAGCCAAACAACAGGAAGTAAATTTTTAATACAGTCAATGTAAAGTGGATAGCATACCAGCACTTTGACCAAGTTACGATGATATTTTGCCTCAGCCTCGATCTCATATGACACCTGCAACATTATGTATCAATCAGAGGGGAAAATAGCAAACTATAAAGATAGCTACTACTTAACACTTCTGAATCCTACATGGCAAATTCATCATTCCCCAAACTTTTAGCAAATATGAAGGATTAATAAGTTAAAAGATTGCATTCCATGTCAAATTTGCATACGTAATAATATTTCAGATATTTAATCACTAGATGAAAAAGAATCTGAACCTATTATTAACAAAATCCGCACCCAGTGCGTGTTTGTGCGAGAGAGAGAGGGAGAGTACAGTATACAAGTACATATTGTGCATGGATATACTATATGCATGCGAAATTCTGCAAAGAGAAACTGATTCTGTTTTTTCTCAATTAAATAGGTCTTAAAAATTAAAAGGACAAAAAAGACCGAAATATTACATTTCTCAGTTTTCGAACTTGACCGCGAAGATCAGTGACTCCATAATCCAAGGCTCCTTGCTCTAAATCATTAATTTCCAGCTGTATTTCACCAGAATTATTTCCCTGTCGCCTGGTGATTAGCCCCTCTCTGTTTCACGATATTCGTTTCACAAAAAAATACGTTAAAGAAAAAAACTACTAAAAAAAAACCAAAGAAGCAGCAGTGTTGAAATTTCCTCAGCAAAAAATAAGATGAAAAACAAAAATCTCTTAGCTTCGCTTGATGCTAGGTTCTAGCCAAATAATTAACTAATTTTTCCTTTTCCTTTCCATTTCTTTTTTTCCCACCTCTTAAGGCGAATAATTTTGGAATTTTGGCGTACGAAAAGAGAATAATGGAAGGACATCGTTAGTAAAATGCGAAAACCTGGCTCTGTACGGAGCGGCGCGGTAGAAGTCGCCGCCATGGCCTTCGTCGGAGTTGGAGGACGCCATTGCAGCAAAGATTGGAGGAAAAACTCGTAGGAAATTAGCAGAGAGAAGAAAACGTGAAGGTGAAGAAAAAGTTCTGAGCGTCTGGCAGAAGTAGATGGAAAGGACGGAGCAGTGACGGTTAGAGGGCTATTCATGTAGGTGGAGAAGTATTCCTACATCCGGTGTCTTTTAAATCAATAGACTAAATCTCGTGTAGTTCGCCACGTCATTGAATGTAGTACATGTTATCATTATTAGAGCAATCTGGTTCATGAATGCCTTATGCACCCGATATGCTTAAGTATTAGTACAGTAACCCAGCAGGTACTGGGAAGTTTCCTTGCTTTTGATTTTCTGAGTTTTTTTTTTTTTTTTTACTCCCGTGATTGTTTTGGAGCTGTAACCCAAAAAAAAAAAAAAGTTTAAGGAATAAGTAAATAAATTGATTAAATTTGTAAATTAATTACGTACAAATGGTGACTTGTCCTCGTAATATTTTTCAAGAAATAAAAAAGACACATTAGTTCAAAAAAGAGTTTTTATTTTGATAATGCTTTAACATATATATAATTATATAATTATATGTATATGTTATATATATATTTCTGTATATGTATGCATATATATATATGTATATGTATATGTACATATACACACACATATATATACCTATATATGTACATATATACACACACACATATATATACACACACATACACACACAATATATATATACACACACATACACACATTCATAGTGCTTACAAAATTCTAGTTTTGTAGTAAGATTTCTACTTATCATTTCAGAAAAAGTAGTGCTACTAGAGGCTTGCATATTTTGTGCTTGGGCCCTTTATAACTCATTTCTAATTTCAGGGTCAATATAAAAATTATATCCTATTTTGGTTCTAGTATATTCCAGAGCTTCATTAATATTAAAAAAAAATCCTTTTTTAGTAGGGTTTGAAAATTTCTAATATTATCTAACACTTTTATCCAAGTGGGGGTATATTCTTGGATGATGTCCAGAAACCATCATATAAACTGAAAATCCCTGTCCAAGGGGTTTTTGTAAGACTTTTGTAAAATAATATGCTAAAGCATTAAGTGATTTTATTTTTTGGGATACATTTTGTGCATTCCATAAGCTGTCTATAAGGGTTTGGTGAAGTTCATTGAGTTGTCTTTTGCAATATACTTGAAAATGAAGATCGGATCCTTTTGGATGCTTGTTGAGTTCCATTTTTTTTTTTTTTTTTTTGTCAATCGTCAACCCTACTTCTACTCCTACTCTATCTATGGGGGAGACCTAACTGGGTCTATAGGGGACAGAACCACTATCGGACCAGACAGGTGCGTGGTGCACCCGTCTGGATTTTTTTTTGAAGAACCACAATTGTGGCAAATTGGTGGAGGCAAGGTTCAAAACCTTGCCTCCCACCCCACCAAAGCCTTAAAGGCTTGGTGGTGGCCATCAGCCTAAAGCTGATGGTTGCTTGTTGAGTTCCAATTGGCCCAATTTTATTTTTTCAATTCCTGCCATTCCTGCAAAATTTTATTTAATATATGTCTTTTTTATTTAAGATAAAAATGATGGACAGCTTTCTCAGGACCTTTAGGATATTTTGAATAGTTACTAATGCCTTTTGGATTAAAAAATGCACCAGTAGTTTTCAAGAGAAAAATGGATAGTATTTTTAGTAAATATAACAATTTTGTAGTAGTATATATTGATGATATTTTGGTTTTTTTCAAAAACTAGAAATGAACTGTCATTTGAAACTAGTTTTGTCAGAATTCCTAAAACATGGAATAATAATAAGTAGCAAAAAGGCTCAATTCTTTAGGACAAATATAGAATTTTTAGGAACAAAAATAGGAAATGGTAAAATAAAATTATAACCACATATTAGTAAAAAGGTTTTAGAATTTCCAGATAAAATAGAAGAAACAAAAAAAAAACTCCAAAATTTTTGGGACTATTAAACTATGCTAGGCCATTTGTTCCGAACCTGAATAAATTAATAGGACCATTATATAGTAAAACTAGCATAAAGGGACAAAATTATCAAAAACATTTTAATTAATTAGATATAAAACTAGTACAAAATGTTAAGAAAATAAGTTGTGTTTGGATTACATTTTCCGTCATTTTTCATGAAAAAATTACTGTAGCGATTTGATATATGTGAGGGAAAAATGTGATAGGGAAATGTGATCACGGAAAACAATAATATTTTCCTACGGAAACAAGAATCCTAAGCACGGCGACTTCGGGATCTAAGACTTCCTTTAGATAGTGATTATTTAATAATAGAATCAGGAGGATGCGAAACAGGATGGAGTGCAGTCCTTAAATCAAAACCTCATAAATATAATAACAAATGTAGGGAACATGTTTGTCGATGTGCTAGTGGAAAATTTAAAGAAAAAGGCAATATTAGTAGTATAGATTTAGAATTGTTAACGGTAACTTATGCTCGAAATTCTTTTAGACTATTCGCATTATATAAAAAATATATACTTGTATATATGTATGTACAAGGTAGCCAAAATCCTGGTCGACATCTTGGTAAAAGTTACCAGCAGAGGCAGCCAGCAGAAGTGAGGCAATTAGACAAAAATGCAGCAGGAATGAAGCTTTAGACGACGTAAGGGGAAACATTTTCACTCGGGCTAAGGAAAAGCTTGCAGTAGCGCGGGTTTGTTTGGATTGCTTCATATTTCCCCAATTTTATTTGCTTACATCATCTTTACAATTTCCAATACACTTTTTTATCTTCCCAATATCTTTTTATCTCACATACATCACATCACAAAAAGTGCTACAGTAAAAAATATCCCAAATAATCCCAAATAACTTACAATCCAAACAGAAAATGATTTCTGGTTTGCAATGGTTGGGTGTAGGGTTGTAAACGAAGCGGCTCGAATGCGAATTCGAATCGCGTTTGATCAATATCGAGTTCGAGATAATCAAGTCGAAGTCGAAATTGAATTCAAGTTCAAAAATACTAAATTCGATAGCTCGTGAGCTCGATTATATATTTATTTTTTATCTTAATAGTAAAATTATATATATATTTTTATTATTTTATTATTTGTTAAAAAAATATTATTTTTTTATTTTTAAAAATAAAATATTTGTTTTTTTATTTTTTAAACTTGAGCTCGAACTTGACATTTTGAACTCATCGAACTCGAACTCAAGTTTGAGTTTCGTAAAATTAATTTGAAATTCGGCTCGATTAGACTAAAATTTAACTCGACTCGACTCAACCCGTTGCATCCTATTTGGGAGTAGCTCAATGAAGGTTTTATATAGTTTTTGGTTACCTAATACAAAGGTCTCCTGATAGCTTAGCTAGCTCTTGAGGAGGTATCCTAGAAAGGGAGAGAAAGTGAGAAACCACCTACAACTGTAAATCAGTGGGCACAAAACTAGCAGAGAGTTGGCAATTGCAGTGTTGATTTATTCTGTTAGCAGAGTTGTAAAGAAGATTCAACAACGGAATAACGCGTTGCCGAGCATGGAGCATGGACCATGGGGAGAGCCAACTTTGATGCCAAAGCTTCTGGGTTCATGCCCAACAGCCAGGGGCAGAACTTCCTTGTAAAAAACATAAAATAAAAGAAAGGTGACACACAGTCTAACAAAGCCAAATCCTTGCCCTGGCTTATGACTTTACCTTACATTAATAAAAGGTTTCTTCTATTTGTGCTGCCCTCAGGGAGGGCACAGGACAAAAGTTGGATCCAAATGTTAGCTGTTAAAAAAAAATTTTAATTTCTTGGCTAAATTTTCCTAAATTTAGGGTAGAGTGTTTGGATAGGAGATTATTTGGGATAATTTTTTTAAAAAAATACTGTAGCATTTTTTTGATGTGATGTATGTAAGATAAAAAGGTGATTGAAAAATGTGTTGATGATATAAGTATGTCAGTGTGCGTAAATAAGTATTTATTTCTTTATTTGGTTCCTAATATAGGATAAAATATTTAAACTTGATGTTTTATTTTTTTTAAAATTACAAAAGCTATTCTAAAAGCACCAAATTTGAGCTTTTGCTAAAAGTACTTTTAACACCAAAATCTCTACTCCTAATTTTATGAAATGTTGTTCACCAAACACTTTAAGAATATTTTTAGCACTTAAAAGTGTTTCTTTTTTTCACCAAAAACACAGCAGTCCCAAACAGGGTCTAAAAACTCAATTTGCACAAAACCTCTCTATAACTATGCCCCTTTGTAGATATATTGCAAAAGTTGTGGTCTTTTTTGATCAGATGCTTGTGGAGAAATTTCTTGTATTTCTGCTTTAGTTATAAATTCAAGGCTAGGGATATTTCAGCTGATGAAGCACATTCTTAGAATATTCAAATTATGCTTACATGAAGTCTTAACATTTATCTTAGGGTGTATGACAGACTGTCACGAGAAAATTATTATCATATTCAAACTCAAACTAGAAAATAAAATGGAATCTATTTCAACTTTTACTCAAACAATGTAACACGTAATCAGAATTAATTTCCATTTCACAAATTACAAAGAATAAAGAATTTCACAAAACCTGTCAGAAATTTTACAAAACCAATAAAGAATTCCACTTTTGATGTTTTACAAAGGAAAACAATTTTCGAGCAATCTAGAACCTAGAGCTCCTGCATTCGGTAGGAAAGCCCTGTGGAAACCTAGCAGCATCACTACAATAATTGTAGATCATGAATTTCTGCTGAACCCCTCGAATCCTGTTTCTCCCCTTAGCATCAAGCCCTTGGGTTTGCCATGCCTGATCATTGTTCAGTGAATTTGTGGAACCACAGGCTGATGATCCAGGTACCTTAACACATCCATTTGCATTGAAGTTTCTGTAAGAAACAGTGAATGGGGCAAGTGTCCAATCAGTCTTAACACGGCCGCCTTGAGTAGCCCAGTCATCTGCATTCCACAAGCTGCAATAGACTCTCATGGCCTGGTTCTTGGGGTATGGTACTCCGTTTGACTCTTGATTGTTGAATACTCTTATTGGTATGTTATCCACCAAGAATCTGATTAAAAGATAAATCCCAGAAACTCATTTAATAATAATAAAGAAAAAAACTGC